CGGCGACGACGGAGGAATAGTAGAGAGACAGCAGGTGAGATGAGAGAGACGGAGGTGAGGGAAGACAATGGTAGAGTGAGAAATGAATTAGGTTTGATTTGGGATTAAATTAAATGGGTTGAAAATTTTATAATTAATATTTAATTAAATATGAAAAACATGATATTTGAAAAGTTAAACTTGTAACCTGATTTGTGAAATTGAAAATCTAATTTCAGGTGTAGATGTAATTTCCTCAATTTAAAATCAAACACAATTTTTTATTCGGACCTTTAATGAATAAGGTAAAATAAAAAGGAGTTTCAATTTTTATTTTTATTAATTATTTCTTACTATTTATTTTTCATTTTTCCATTGGTTTCCACCGTTGGTATAGTAAACACTAAATAGTAGATACATGACGTGATTTAATAAATAAACCAACTATTTGTTGAAAATCAAATATAAACTAATTAATTTTGTCCCCCTAATAACTTAAATTTTCGAATAAAATAGTATAATGTCATACCAAAGGAATAAATTTTGTCCCATACATTGTAAAGCAAAGAAAATTCTTTGTTAAAAAGTCTCATCATTTTCAGATGTTGCATTACACTGCCAGAAACATGGCCAAGCCTCCTATGCCAGAGAATGACAGATTCACCTTTGGTTTCATTAATGTCAATAAGAGAAGAATTATTTGAAGAGAAAACATTATAAGTATCAGAAATGAAAATGGTAGAAGAATAGAAGGAGGTCTGATCAAGTATGTATAAGTTCTTTATCAACCTCCCTACAACTAGTATCTTCTCAGTCAAGAGGTCCTGCAAAAGGCAATGATCCTTCATGAAAATGAATTTCAGGTTTAAAGCTTTGGTTAACCTACTTACTAATAAGAGGTTGAATTTGAAGGTAGGAATATGAAGAGTGTCTGTGAGGATGAGGCTGTCATGTAAATGAACATTACCAAAATGTTTAACAAAATTCATAGTACCATCAGGTAAGAACACAGGAATGGTTTTATTTGCAGGTACATGATTTTTCAATAATAAAATGTCATTGCACATGTGGTTAGAGGCTCCAGTATCTACAATCCATGACTTAGATCCTATTTGGCTAGAAGCACTCAGAGCAGAATTAAAATCAAGTTTAAGAGTTGAACCTGCAAAATCGTCTATCTGAGCAAAATTCACATTGCTTCCAAAACTAGCTCCTTTTTCATTCACCATTTTCCTGAGTTCCCGCTTGATGATTTCTGAAATATTCATGTTCTTGTATTGACCTTCAATTCCTCCAGTATTAACTTCATTTCCCATTTCACAAAATTCACATTGCTTCCAGAACTAGCTCCCTTTTCATTCACCATTTTCCTGAGTTCCTGCTTGATGATTTCTCAAATATTCATGTTCTTGTATTGACCTTCAATTCCTCTAGTATTAACTTCATTTCCCATTTCCAGTGATGAATCTGCCATGTATGCTGCAAATTTTCCTCCAGCCTTTTTTCTTCTAATCACTTAGTTGTTTGAACTAGTCCAGGTATCCAATCAGTTTAAAACAAGACTCTATGTCCTATGGTGTTGAGATGTGTACAGAACTGCTTTCTCTTTTCTTCTTTGCTCATATCAAACTTCCTGCTATATCCTCTACCTCTTCCAAACTTTTTATACCCCTGAGCTTTAACATTCATAGCGCTTACTTCATTATGTTCTCCATAGGATATCTAAATCTCTCTCTGTTTTTCCTCTCTTTGGATCATAGAATAAGCTTTATTGACTGGTGGCAGAAGATCCATAACTAAAATCTGGCTTCGTGTGTGTTCATATTCATCATTCAATCCCATTAGGAATTGCATAAGTCTATTGAACGAGGTTATTTCTGATACTGATTTGGCTGAATCACAAGTGCACTCAGGTATAGGCATTAGGAAGGTTAATTCATCCCACAGTCTCTTCAATTTCGTGTAATACTCTGAAATAGACATATTACCTTGTGAGATAGAACTGATTTCTCGCTGGACCTGATATAGCATAGGACCATTACAAGTTCCAAATCTCTCTTCAATCTCCATCCATAACTCTCTAGCAGTGCTAGTGTATAGAAAGGCTTCGACAACCTCTTTGGAAATAGAATTCAGTAGCCACGAAGTAATCACGTAGTTGACTCTCTACCATTTTTCATAATTTGGTGAAGCTTTCTCAGGTGTTTCAACACTCCCATCAATAAGCCCTAACTTCATTTTCGCTCCAAGGGCAATTCTTACTGAACGGCTCCATGCCAAAAAATTCTTACCAGTTAAAGGCGTTGTAACCAATGTCATTCTTGGATGATCTGAGCTATGAAGAAACAATGGATCTAAAGTATTCATTTCACTTTGTCTTCCATCTCCTTGAATCGTCTGGTTATTCCTTAGTTCTGTAGGAAGCAGATCTGCATTTTGTTCCCAGCCATGGTAGCTCAGTTCTGAGCTTATCTTCCTCCTCCCATAATGGATACGCAGCTTCCGATTCTGGAATTCCAGAATCTATGGCTTTGATATAATGTTCAAGTAAATGGAATCCACAATTTTATTCATTTACTCACCAAAACAACGTACAGCAATGAAGGTCTATTTATAGACCATGAAAAAAAGGGAAAAATTAAAACAGACTCAATACGAATTAAACAAACTCTAAACAAACTATTCTTTATTACAGAGAAGGACCTAAGCTATGTAAGAAGAGCAATTAGGTCCCTTAGGAATAATCTGTACAAAACTTTTCGAGTTTATTTAATCGAATCATGATCTATATATCGACAAATATTTTATTCATTTATCAATAACTTATAAATTCTTGATTTTGATGAATAGTCCACGAATGAAATTTAATTATTACCATAGAGAAAAACCAGCAAAGCACTTAGTATAAATCGAGTAATTTGAACTTTCGATCACAATCAAATATTCTCATTGGTCCTCTATAAAATATGCTATTTCTTCTATTTGAAATTATTAGTTTCTTATTTCTTAAAAGCAACTCAAAAAAATATCAACGTAACCTCCGGAGAAAATCCATAGTTAGATTTCTCGCATTTTATCTTCAAAGTTGATGGCCAACTTAGCCTCAAAAGGTTGATTTTTTTCACAAAATTTGGGTAAACATATATTTGCCATATTCGAAAAAGTCCTATATTTTGCGTTAAAACTTTTCCTTTCGAAAAATAAACTTCCTCTATATTCTTTAGTCAACTTTGAATTTGGACTTTGAAGTTTGCAATGGTAGGGAAAGTCCAAGTGTTAATTATTTCTTCCATTTTTATTTTCAAGTCAAATCATCTAATCTTCACCACCGAAAACACGTCGAAATTTACTGTATAATGTTAGACATAGTTATCCCAAAAATCATTACACGTAATTGAAATTGAAATTTAGTAATTGTTTGGAATAACTTCAAAATTTGCTAAAAATTTGAGGTCAAAGTCATCAATAATTCTAATCACAAATTTCATGAAATCGAGAATCCACAATTTTTAAACCCCAAATTTCATTAAATTTTATCAAAATTTACTCGAACTTTTATAGAAAAGAAGGCCCGAAAGTCGATCGATAAATATGTATTTTCTTGGTATGCTCCTGTCCATCAGAGGAAGTGCCCAAACGTGTTTGGATTGAAAACTTGTATTACATTTCCCCAAGTCAACAATCACACAAAACACAACTCAATCCTCTACTATATAAACACCAAACTTTAAGCTATTCGCACACACAAACTTATAATTCTCATTACTATATCCATGGCTAGACAGCCTAACTCTGTTCTAGTTCTCTTAACTTTTTTCTTGATTTTTACAAATGTTCGGGCGCGACCATTCAATATTCAAAATCATGTGCAAGGCGATGAAACTCCACCACATCCCATCCGAAGGAACGTCGAAGTGTTCAAGGCTTTTCAAGTTAGTGTCAAGAACTCTGGTCCGAGTCCCGGAGAAGGTCATTCGTATCATAATGGCTTACACAATTAAAGCATTCATGGCATGTTTGATATCCATCGAATTTTTTTTATTTTTTATTTAGGTAAACAATTAAATTTAAAGTTTACAATTTGCATTCTTTCAGACCATGTTTGGCATGTTATACGGGGCAAAATTGGAATTACAATTGACAAGATATTCAATTTCTTTCTTCTTTGCTCCTATATAATATCGTACAATTCATCGCAACCAAATGAAGTAACATTTTTTGTATTTTTTTGATATTTTTATAGAGAAACATTTAATTATTACATATGCATTATTTTTTTATGAAGTTCAATTGCTTGATGGACAGTGGACTATGCTTGCAAGAAATAAACGGTCCATGCAGAGAAGTGTATTAATATTTCTGAGATTTTAATATGTTGGCAGTTTCAATTTTTTATTCTTAATTTTTTTCATATTTTGGAACCATTTAGATTTTGATGCATTTGTCATCTTTCCCTCTTTCGTGAATGTTCAAGAATTTTGTTGGACCAAGCCTTAACCAAATGGGCCAAGATTGATTGGCCCAAACTAGTCATTAATTTCACTGGCGATCATTATACTTTCATCCAATTTTTATTTAAATCATTATATTTCATTTATATCAATTATGTCACTATACTTCAATATTATATCAATTTGGTTCGATAATAATTTAATAGTATAATTTTGTCTGTCGTTTTTAACTGATGTAATTGTTAGGTCATACAAAGATTGACAATTAATACATCGATTTTTCACAAATCTCGTACTTGAACAATACTTCTATCAATGACTAAGATTAAAAAAGGTGATTCTATCTCTAGTTTCGAAAGAGCTTCTTGATTGGAAAAATTTTTGGATGTCCTATGAGATTATGTATTTTGACCATTTTTTTCTTTTAATGTCAACCAATGTTTCACCCATTTGTATTCAACAATGCTAAATGTACACTCCTTCCTTTACATTAATTCTGACACTGCCTTTTTTTTTTTTAATTGTGGGCGAGAAAACTGTTTTTTTTTTTAAAATTGTCCAATATTATTTTGCCATGTGTCACAATATAAAATATTGCTTTGTATTTGGTTTAATTGGGTACAAATATATGTCCTTGACTATCGTGCCACACAAATTTCAGAACCTACTCAAATACCGGGTCAATATCTGGTGGTCCTCCAATGGGTCCAAATTATTTACTCATATCCTCCATGGTCCAAGGAAAAAGATAAGATAGATTACCATTTATTTTCATGTTAATTGGATGACATTTCATCACTCTTTTCAAAATCGACCTCCATGACGGCTCATATGGTTAGTCTTGTAATTTTACGGATCTTGTCTTCTACTAAAATTAGTCATCGTCATGTCATCTTATTCACAACTAGGATTATTTCAAAAGGACATTTTTCTGATACTAATTGTACTCGTTATATTGGATAAAATTCATCCTGAAAACGAATTTGTGATGATAAAGAACTCAATTAGATATAAGCTCGCAAACAAAGCCTTACCCTAATGATGTGAGATGCAATTAAGGTTGTTTCATGTTTGATATGGGCTTTTTTGGAGAGACGTATATATAAGATTGTAATTTATTTAATTGTTTGGTGGATTTTAGTGTTTGTCCACAAGATTATACACTAGAAACCGTTGTTGTAAAGGGCTACAGGTACTGAGGTCAAGGGACAGACGTTGAACCATGAAATATTGTGGTCCCCAGTGGGATTACAAATACAGTTAGGTAGCTCTAAATGATAGGTTAAATGAATAGCATTACTCAATATTGTGGCTCAATGGCTGCATTTGTCGGCAAATTTGAAGCACAAGATTCAAATTGAAGACAATCACTCAAGTTTCTTTTTAATTATTTACTATTACATTTATCTTCCATACTGTAGTTTCCAAGTCTTGTAAATTACTCAATGCTTGATGATGTAAAGGTATGCACCATTAATAACCATAAGAGTAGCCCATGTAGTTGTATCTAGATCTTACACTCTGATTATTATACATCGGATCACCGAAGTCGACGGCTTTAATGACCATGGCCTCACGTCGTCCATCCTGTTCCTGGATGGCTCCAAACACGATTTCACTTGTTTCGCACTTCTGTTTCTCGTAATGTGTTTGAGGGCTTGATGAGCGGTGTTTTTGATGATGCTGATGGTATAGCTGCTGTTCGTGGTGGTGGTGGTCCTGCTGAAAATCATCGATATATCCTCTGTAAAAAGATTGACTTCGCTTGAATTGTCGGGTTTTCTCAAGGTCCTTGGTCATATACGGGTAGCTTTTTCTAGGCGTTGGGTCTCTTGTTGTCTCTAGTGGCGGGGGCTCATCTTCGTTTGGAATCATATAGCTTTCTTGCACGGGCCAAGACACGTGTTTGGGAGGACGATGGTGTGGCTGCATATGATAGTCGAAAGGCTTCCTTCTGAAACTTGAGAATAATCCTCCAAAAATTTCAACAATGGTCGAGCCCGCATTGAGAAAGAGCCTCCCCATTGAACCAAATAAGCCCTCGTCTTGTTTTTCATATTCGTCTTCTTGAGGAATCAACGGATGCCTGACTGATTTTGAAGAAGGCATCTGATATGTCGCTGGCGGCATACCCTTTGCATAAGCTTTTGGATTCTTCATAAAAACAATAAAAGACAAGTATAAGAAAACTCGATGAGACCATCATTGTCCAGACATTGTACGTGCAAGAATTTTTCTACTTACATTGTTGCGTGAAAACATTGCTGCAATCTTACGCTGTAACAAGGCCAGAAGATAACCAAAGAACACCGCTGCAACAAGAACTGCTATTCCTGAACAATAATGGAACGTACATCTTACTATGTTTGTCATTGGGCAATCATGGATTCATGGTCGTATTAAGTACATTTTTATGCTTACCTAATGGGAGATTATCATCATTCTGGTAAGAACAATCATCTTCATGGAGTTGGATCTCGCGAATTGCTTGATTTCCTCTGTCTATAACCAAAAGAGAACAGCTACTTCCAATGTAGACGACATCAAAATCATCTGAGAACTTGGCATCTTCACTTGGACCATCAACATGCCCTCCTCCTCGACCCACTTTTCCGCCTGCAATTGTTACTACCTCTGCAAAAACAAAAAATTGAATTCAAGAAGTTTTCTTTATCAGTCTCGTGTTTTCACGACCTATGAGGGTTTAGGTGGATACAGGACAATGAAATAACGAAATGACAATAATAACGTGTTGTAATTTACCGGAATCACTAATTTTCCTAATAGCCATATTTAAAGTGTCTGCAACATATATATTCCCTTTGTCATCCATTGCGAGTCCTTTTGGATGGTTCATCCTTGCTTCTCTTGGCCTCCCATCCACGTGCCCAGGGTACCCTTCAGCCGATCCTGTAATTAACTTAGGTCTACTATCTGCAGCTCGGCAATTCATGTCACAATGTCAAATTCCAATCAAGTAAACTGAATATTATTTGAAAGGAAAATCCAATGCGAATGCACCGAAGACCCAAAAACTTAAGAACCGACACATTGAAAGGGTATGAAATTTCAATGTGTGCATCGGAATAATGGATATCATTTAGACTCAAAACAGAGTCGGAACTTGTAATCAATACTAGGAATTCGCAAAATTAAGACACGTGGATGACGGTCGGCTTATGATGCAAATCTCTTCGGCTTAGTCTATAAAAGAATAAAGCAGTGAATTCCCACACCACTTTGGTCATAAAAGAAAATTACAAACCAACACATCCCCTAAAAGAGAGAATCAATACTGTACAAAAGTGTTACTGTACCCCAAAAGAAAGAGGCTTCTTATAAGCAAAAGCAAGTCTATAACCAAAATTGGAAAGTAACCATCATGAATATCAGATATCAAGAGTGTCTGCCAAGAAAAGAATTCACCTAAAAAATCAACTATTAAGCAAAGATCACAACTTCATAGTAAATGCAACTGAAATTTTGCAACAATTCGAGAACATAATTCAATTAAAATTGTAAAATCTCTCAAAAAATGTTAACTCACATCGGGACAAAGGTGTTGGGATTCTGTAAATGTTACTGTTTTCAGAATCAAGAACCAGAATTTCCCCAGCTGGTGACACCTCCAAAGAGTATGGTTCAATTCCAACCTTAGTTCCTTCAAACACAGTCTCTACAGTGTATCCACCCTCAAATTTCACCATTGAACGGCTATGAATTGCTGTAAGTAGAAATACCCAGAAACCCATTAATCCATTTCCTTGAATTGAGGAGTTCTTGAAATTTGAATTGATTAAATACCTGCACCAGTTTTGCTGGTTGTTTTCATTGACCACAGCCACTTAAAAACAGTAGAGACCACATTTGTAACCACCCCACTAACGATTTCTGAAAAAAAAGACATGAAATTTAAGAAAAATGCATATGGAGTAATGGAGAAATCAAGAAAATATAGTCATATGAGAGGCATATCTAGTACTTACTTGCCGCTGGAGAGGCAGAAGAAGCTAATGAGAACTCACCGAGTAAAACAACAGTAACAACAAGTAGAATGATCCAATTCTTACCCATTTTCCCCTTTTTCTCAAATACCCAGAAAATGATTAATGAAGTTCAAGAAAATCATATATATAAGCACTTCATTATACTTTTGGATAGAGAGGGAGGGAGAAATAAGCAAGTCCCAATATACAATTCTACCTTTGGCTTTATAGGTTTTATATGGTAATCTGCATTATACTTTCCAATGGTATAAATGTGTGAGATCATGAGGGGACAAGCACAGAGAGAGGCCATGGGATGGGAATTATGGAAAGAAGTGAAAAGTGCGTGGGGTGGGGTGAGTAGTAATACAGAAGGGAGCACTATTCAAGGTATCAAAGTAAAAGAAGAAAGGAAAGATGGGACAGAACTTCTGTTTTTGTCATATCAGACAGAATCATCATTTAAAAGCTATTGAGAGCGTGTAAGGCTTTAGCTTCAAAAGTTCCCTTACAAGAATCTTCAGAGGCAGATTTGCAAAATTCTGAAATGGTATAGACCAAAATGTAGAATTGTGATAATTTTAGGGACTGACTTGAAAAATGTAAATAAAAAGATTATCCGTATTTGGATGAAGTTTCTATGAAGCAAGGTATCAGCCTGTTTGATTCCCATTAATTAATTTTATGATTTGTTATAGAATTATTTTCAACTGCACATTCGCACAATAAAACGTTCTACACGTTCTCCCAAAATTTTTCCATACTTTTTAATTACGCATTCTCCTAAAAATACTATTCTTAACTCATTTTTTTCCCATTAATATGAATCAAACATGCAATAAATTTTAAGTCATGATGTTAAAGTGAGACCGAACTTTAAAAAGGCAGTGAAATCCCCACTTGTGCACTTCTTTCAATTTGATCATCCAACTTTAATTTGTGTTAGAATCATCACTCAACTCTATAATATTTTTGAAATTGAAAGCTATTCATTATGTTCCAATCATTTTATTTTATTTTTTTACCTATATGGGGCACGGAATTTTAGCGAGGACATAATACTGGAGAAGAAACATAGGACAAAACTTTCTAAACAACAGAATTTTCTTGATCAAAGTGAAAAAGTACAACCCACCACTCACCAGCTGGTATTTCAGCATTTACACATTCCTACCAAAGATTTCTTCATCTCTCCTTATTTACGGAGTTTATGAGCATTTGCATGTACTGTATCTTACTATACAGACAAGACAATCATACATGGTACACCATCCCCACCTCTAACGTTGATGCACGAACGAAACATAGTGCATGTGCTGGTCCTCTTGAGTTCCTTCTCAAGAAGTCATAACATGTATTAATCACTATTCTCTTAATCAAGTTCGAACCCATCTTTGCCTTCACGTAACAGTGGCCGAGTATAAATGTCATTCCAGCCTCTCTCGCTTCCATCAATTCCTGCAACTCTATTCGTGCGTTCGAATTGATTTGTGGACTCTCAGGGATGAGAAATCTCACTCTCTTCCTTGTCACCTCCGGTGAACTAATTTCTGTTAACTTCGTAGTGCTTGTTGCTTCTTCGAATAAATCATCGTTATCCTCACACATCCTTTTTCCGTTTGAGTATGTTGAGGCTGTCCCAATTACTGTCATTCTTTCATCATTGTCGAGATCTACTAGCCCATCATCACATTCTGTGCCCTCTGACCGGATGAATTCGGCTATGCTACAAACAAGATCATTTTCGAACATCACGTCATCCATCTGAATGTCACGGTAGCCATAACGTGCTATGCATCGATAAACTCGGTAATCTTTTGGCCCGATTCTTCCCACGAGGAATCTTTCTTCAGGTCTCACATGAGGCACCGGAACATATTTGACACAGAGGAAAACTAGAACCTGGTGGAAAGCCGGTAGATTGGTGAGAAAATGAGAGAAAATGGATGGAATTCCAGACACAAGTTCTGTATGTATGAGACCAATGCCTCGAACCCGCACGATCCCGAGGTTCGGACCCAAACTCAGGAGCCAGTTTATGGGAACTTTGTTCTGAACATCAAACTCGTACTTTCTCAACGTTCCATAATGCCAGATGTACATTATAACTAGAAAGATAAATGAGAGTGCAACCGGGACCCAAGCGCCATCGAGGAACTTGATAAGAGAGGCAGAGAAGTAGAGAGCTTCAATGGAACCGAAGAATAATATAAAGCACAAGGCTAGAAATATGTTTCTATGCCAACATAGCACAATGACAAGAGACATTAGGCATGTGGTTACCAGCATAACAGTTATTACAGCAAGACCTGATCCAGAAAGAAAAAACATCATTAGACTGCAGTACGAGAATCCAGTTCTAAATTATTTAGTCTTCTTCTCGAAATATAATTATAGTTAATAAAACATTCTGATAGTTTAAAATGTTTCTTAAGACATAACTCCTTTAGAATCAGTCACTGTCTGATTCTTATCAGGTTGAAACTCAAGGATAAAGTACAACTGCAGTGCCTTCGTGTAACAGAATATCTATAAAAATCCATTTGTAGATGTTACCTATTGCATTGCTAATATGTTTTGTGTCTCTAAAACCTATAGTAACAGCCAGGCAGAGCAACATTAGAATCCAGTTGATTTCGGGAATGTAAATCTGGCCACAAATTTTAGACGACGTATGTATTATTCTAACTCTCGGGAAGTAACCCAAAGCAGAGCATTGCTTGATAATGGAGAACGTTCCAGTGATAATGGCTTGGCTCCCAACCACTGCAGCAAGTATTGCAATTGCAAGAACCGGCCACCGTAATTTTTCTGGCACGATAAAACGAACGTTAGAAAGGGACAGACTTTCTAATATCAGAATAATGCCTTGCAGAGATGAAATAAGAATCAAACGGAGAAACTACACACCTGGTACCGATTCATAGAAACTGATATGATAACCACTTTCAATTATGTGATGTTTGGAAAGATAAGCAGCTTGTCCCATGTATGCAAGAATTAAGGACGGATAAACCACACAGGTAAATGCTATCTGCATTCGAGCAGTTTTTCAGTTCCTAAGTTAGTAAATGCTCTCAAATTATGCATAATCATTTGACTTACAGTCCAAAAATCAAACAATACATTGACCAACAAATGTAACTTGAACATGACAGAAGTAGAAATTTGTCAAAAATATATGTATAACTCTATTTTAGTTAATCCCAATATTGTCAACAAAATCATTATAACATCAGTAGACAATTAGGAGCCGAAATAAAGATATTGCCTAATATTTTAGCCAGTTCATGAGGAATAGAGTATGAAATCTGTCAGCCTCAAGTTTCCTAGTTGATCCAAAATATTTTACTAGAAATTAAAACCCGGTAAGTTACTAAGGGTATGTTTGGGAGAGATTTTTTTTAAAATCATTTTCAATCACACATTCTATGGGACCCAATAACTTTTCCTTAAATTTTAACCACATTTTCTCAAAAAAAATCATTTTTCACTTGGAAAAATCTCTCCCGAACAAAGTCTAAATATTTACCTTGATAGACATCTGTGAAAAGTGTCCAAGATCAGCAAACATGGCCTCGGAACCTGAAATGTGTATACACGTCAAGTTAATTGAAAATCAAATACAACAGCCTACCCCGATGAAGAAAGATAGCCTACTTACCAGTTATACATAACAAAATCCCACCCAAGGACATCCAACCTCCTCTCCGTGTCTTCTTCAAGAATTTGTACATATAATAAGGAGACAGCGCTTGGTAAACATGGGGATTCCAATGAAAAATATTGTACACTCCAATGGCACTGATGCAAAAAAGCCATGCTATAACAACTGGTGCAAAAAGAAATCCTATTCGGTGGGTCCCATAATGTTGCAGATAGAATAAGAACAGTATAATACAAGCAACTGGGACTTCTATATCTGCAAGTAAAAGGTAAGTTGCTTGATTATTATTCATCTCATTACAGCAAACTTCAGGGAAATAAAAGGTGGATTGGAAAATAGTAAGAAAGTATTGTTCAAATTACACATAAAGCAGATAAGGATTCGGTATTCATAAATTTTTCAGGATAGTCACAGAGTATCAAAGCTATATTAGCAAAATCTTGACAAAAAATATAGTTATGCAATCCAATTAGGAGTGTAACAACTTCAGATGTGTTCGGGTCCAACTTTAGATGGTGACCTGGTCGAAATGAAGGACTAAGCAAGATTTAAGAAATGGATATGCATGGCATCTTCAGAAACTAAGGAGATGAATAGACCAAAGCACCTATTGAACTTTTATCAAATTTTTATGCTGAACTATATTCAAACCTTGGTATAATGTATTCCTGATTTAGTAATTTGCATTCGTTTTCAATAACTTCATTCATTTTCAATAACTTGCATAGATTCACGAGTCTGTAAATACCTACAGGTCACTGCTGTCACTCGTAATTCAATAAGATAAGTTTTCTAATTACACTAGTATTGTTGATTGTAGGTAGATCTGTCCAACTTTATTTCTTTTTTGCATAATTTATGATGATTCACATTACACAAGGACAAAATCTTTTAAAATATAAACTTGAACTCTTTCTTTTAGCCTCAAGTTGCATCTCCACTTGAGATGAGTGGTCTACCATAATATAGAAATTAGAAAGATTATGTACTTTATTTGTACAATTGACATTGATAAGACGTTAAAAAAGAAATTGTCCTATTAACAAAAGGCCTGCACAATAATGCATATTATAGTAACTTGGTGCACTTTCTTTGTCTAGATATCAGATGAAGAAAAACAACAATATCTTTTCAGTCCTTTCCTTTTGGTCAAATTATAATCTTTAATCAATTTTCGGCTTATCTTTGATCACATCTCAATCACGCATATGGCAGAATTACTAATGAGAACCAAATCGATAAACTTAAGACAATCACTTGAGACGAAATTGGAGCTTACATTGAAAGGGCACTTCAAGAATATGCTATGCATTTAGGAAAGAAAGTGCCTTAACTGAACAATGCTATATTGACAGCCTACTCAAACAAGGGATCTAGCCAATAGCCGAATTTCTTGAGCTGTCAATACTTAAGTGCAAGTT